GTCTTAAAGTTGCCAAGGTTGCAGACCACTGATCTACAGCAGCTGCCTCCAACCTTCCTGCCTTTGTGGACTGTTGGGAGCGGGGGATGGCTCTGTGCAAAGGGCAGGCAGGCAGGCACACGTGCAAAAGCTGCTCATACAAATGGAGCCGCATGTGGTTGCTTGACACAGCGCACGTACATGGAGCTGTGCATGTGCGCACCCTTACCCACCGTTTCCACAGCCTGCATCTGAACGGGCCACGGGCCAGTAGTGGGCCACGGCATGAGGGTTGGGACCTCTGGTCTACAGCATTCAGATTTAAGAGAGATCCAAATGGGCTCTCGCTAAAGTTCAAATCGAGGCACAAACATCAGAGGAGACAGCACTTCTGTTTTCTTTTCATCCCTCTCTCGTTTTCAGCCATCCACCCCATATTTATTTTAAATGAACAAGCGTTTACTGACTTGGTGAGCTTCTGCTAGTTCGGGTAAAGGCTTTCTTTCCTTTCTCACTCAGTTTTGGGATGGGGCTTCGAGCAGGCGCAGGACGTATTTCAGCATTCCACTGAGCACTCTGAGCAAACATTTTAGCTGTTGATTTAGTCAGAGGGTAGCTGTTTGGCTGACGCTGAGCCCAGTTTGGGCGAACTGTCACTTCTGCCTCTGAGTCAAGTTCTGCCGAGAGGGACATCTAGGAAACAAAGTGGATAAACATGAAATTTGGAACCGAGCAAGTGATGACATTTCTGGTAAACATGAAAATGAAGCTTTGACTTCCATGGTTTTAGTGATAAAATTGAAAAAGATAGATGGACTCCAAGAGGTACCATGTACTGAGCCGAGATTTGGCTGTTGATTGCCAAGTATTTTCTGCTAAGGGATGTGGATGAGTGTATGGCATAGTAAATAATGCTAACTGGTAAAATGCTCTTGGGGGTAGTAAACTCTGGAGCATGAAGAGCCACAGTTATACCAAAATGTTCTCCAAAAATTTAATATGGAATCCTGAAAATCTCAGCTTTTATGGAATCCTGGGCCTCACTGTATGCAAGGGCCTAATCATCCATTTCTAAACACAGTGATAGCAAAATCATGAAATGCATGTTGTAATGTCACAATGCAAGCTCCATCTTTTTGTTCTTGTAAGTTACATACAATGTGTAGAATTTGTGTTGCGATGTTCATTTCATCATTTGTTTCCCCTTGACCCTACCGAAACCGTTGGTGAACCAGAGGCCCCCAAAGCTGTGTTTAGTTTTAAGGGAGTTTAAAAATTAGAAAGTAAAGCTAGCAGTAGAAAGGCATAGTTTCAGCTGCATTACCCAGAATCTTCTTATGTCCAAGCTGCTGGATCTCCATAATTCCTCAAACCCTCTTACAGTTCCCACCTCCCCCCGCCCCAATATGCTACAATCAATTAGGCCATGGGTTTTGCCCCAGTTACTAGGAAAGAGGATAGACAAAAAGGCAGAAGAAACAATGAGAGGAAGCAATTAACTCAGTTGCTGTTTATATATATTTTCTAGATGTTTGTATATACCTGTGGTTTTGAATGTTTTTACTCTGTTTTTAATTGTTTCAATTGTTTTGTAATTTTAGAAATGTAAGCTGTCCAGTCATATGACTATAGAAATTGAATGAAATGAAATGAATGAATGAAACAATGAATGAATGAGACTCTTTCTTTTACAGAAGTTTGGATAAATTCTAGATTCGTGTAAGAGACCTTTTTTTTTACTGTTTGCTTTACTGATGTAAACCCAGTTTATTCTAATCAGTTCAAGGTCAGGATTTCATTAGGTTATAGCAGTGTTTTTCAACCTTTTTTGTGCAAAGGCACACTTTTTTCATGAAAAAAATCACGAGGCACACCACCATTAGAAAATGT